CCAGATTTTAAACGAGAGTGGAAGGAGACACAGTTACATCATCAATGAGGAGAGTAAGAGCACTGAGGGTCGCTTTAGATCCAATGAGAATGACTTCAGTCTTATCACTGTTTAGCATGAGGAAGTTGTGTTTCATCCCATTTTTGATAGCAGATAGGCAGCTTTCTGAGGGACTAAGGGGTGGATTTGTAATGGATTTAGTCCCAAGATAAATCTGAGTGTCATTCACATAACAGTGAAAATCCAGTTTGAAATAAAGTATGATATTGCCAAGATGGAGTATAACTTGTGTAACCCTTTGAGTGACAGCAGAGGTAGTAGAAGTACATTCAGAAAGACAAATGAACTGCTTTCTACTAGTTAAGTAGCATGTGAAACAGTCCAGGGCAGAGCCGTCAATGGTCAGCTCACGCAGTCTTGACAGGAGTATTAAATGACACACTCTGTCAAATCCTGCACTTAAGTCCAGCAATATAAGGATGCTAAGAGCACCAGCATCTGCAGATACAAGAATCTCTCTCTCTCTCTGTCACACACAGGGCTGCGAGAGCCTCAGCAGTTGGGTGGAAGGCAAGAAGCACACTGGACAGACTGCCAGTCCATCACAGGGCAGACACACAGACATAAACTTTCACACACAAATTCACACCTGGGGCAATTTAGCATCTCCAATTCACCTGACTGTATGTCTTTGGACTGTGGGAGGAAACTAGAGCAACCAGAGGAAATCCACACAGGAGAGAACATGCAAACTCCACACAGAAAGGTCTTTGGCCCTTCTTGCTGTGAGGTGACAGTGCTACCCACCACCATGCCACCCTAAGAAGATCATTGATGAGCCCTAATCAAAGCACTTTGCGAGCTGTGGAATGGATGGAATCCTTCCTGGAAAGGTTCCAAGAGATTTTTAGTTTCTCAGTAAACTTGGAATTGGTTGGCAACAGCTTGTTTGAGAACGTTGACAGAAGGAAGATGGAAGATTAGAGATGGGATGATGATCATAAAAATTTGACTGATCTAGGCCAGGTTTTTTCAGTATAGGTGTAACTGCGGCGATCTTTTACAAAGAGGGCACCTGGCCGGAAAACAGTGTTTGATTAATAAGAGTTGTGAGATGAGGGACAATGGCAGGGAGCAAGCTTTAGTTAAAGTTGTAGGGAGGAGATCAAGGGGAGATGGTGGTAGTTTTAGAAGTAGTGATTATGTCAACAATTAAAGAAGAATCAACAGTATTAAAGGCAGAAAAATGAAAGGAGTGTAAGTTGCAATCTACAAGATGTCTAGTCAGAGCAGTAAAGGACAAAGTATTTTTAGTGGTACAGACAGCTAAAGAGTTACTGATGTTAGAGATTTTACTTTCAAAGAAATGTAAGAACAAGTTACAAAGGTCAGGGGATAGAGTTACAGTATTTTCAAAGGGTTTGAAAAGCTTAGTGACTGTTGTAAACAGATGAAGGGAATTTGAAGGGGTGCTGTTGATGAGACTGGAATGATAGAAATATATGCTGCTTATAAGCCTCAACATGAGTGGAGAGTTTGGATTTCTTATAGTCTTTCAAGCCGATGACCCATCTGTCTTATGGTCCATAAATTGGGGATATACCAGAAGCAGGAAGAGATAAAAGAGACGGCTTTAGTTAGATATTCAATTAATGTAGGACAAGTGAGTCACCATTAATATTAACATTATGGACAATATGGATGACTTATTAGAAAGAGAACAAGCATTCAGTAGGAGCTAGAAGAGGTGCTAGAAGAAGCAGTAGGAAGGGAGGCTGAGTAATATGGATTGGCAGTGCAACACAGAGCGTGCTAGCAGACGAAAATTAAGTAAGGCACTTCTTAAAAGAAGATGTGGACTCAGAGAGTCTGATATCGAGGGGAAGACTGTTCCATAATTTAGGAGCACATACAGCAAATGTCTCCCCTTCGCTTCAGTTTACTTCTAGGGACAACAAGAGGCCTTTTATTAGAGGAACTAACACTTCACAAATATATTCAGGCGCTTCACCATGTAGGGCTTTATAAGTAAGAACCAGTACTTTAAAATCAATCTTGAATTTCACTGACAACCTGTGAAGAGAGGCAAGCACTAGGCTGATGTGCTCCCTATGTCCAGTCTTCGTTAAGAGCCGAGCAGCTGCATTTTGGACAAACTAAAGTCTTGCCAAAACTCCTTGACTAAGGCAAGTATATATAGCATTGCAATAATCCAAATGAAATGAGACAAATGCATGAATAATTTTCCTCTAAGTGCTGAAAAGACAAAATCCATCTGATCTGTGCAATATTTCTTAGCTGGAAAAAACATGTTGGAAAAAACCTGTTTCTTAATATGTGCTGAAAATTGTAAATGACAACACCCAGGTTTCTAGGAAAAGCATTAACTCTTGATCTGAGTGAACCAAGAACCACCTGCAAATCCCTAGGAATGTTGTCAAGACCAATGACCAGAACCTCTGATTTATTCTCATTTAACTTTAAAGTTACAGTTCATCCAGTCCTTAACAGCGTCAATGCACTCAATTGGATTACCTACTTTACTAAAATCATTCCCGATTTATGGAAAGAGATATTAAAACGTCTGATTAACACTCCAAGAAGAAGCATATCACCCTGGGGTACCCCACATGTAAGATCAGCCATAGAAGACATCATATTTCCAATAGACACCTGAAAATTTTCTAATAGACAATTAAGAACAAAACCAATCTAGCGCAGTCCCTGATATGCCAACCCATTCACTAAGCCTGTTTTTCAAGATATCATGATCCACTGTATCAAAGGCTGCACTAAGATCAAGCAGCACCAAAAGACATACCTCCCCAAAATCAGAATGCATTAAAATTATCATTTAAAATTCTTTTTTGCAATAAAGAGAAGCTTAAAGATGGGTCGAAAGCTTGAACAATCTTTAAGGTCAAGGTCCGGTTTCGGGATTATGCTTATTAGTTGTAATTTAATTATTAAAATAAGCAGCTCTTGCATCCCTAACCTTATTGTTGTACAATACCAACAAATCTTTCATATACAAATAATGAACCTGAAGCTGAGTCCTTTTCCATATATGTTCTGCCTGTCTGCACTCTCTTTTCAAATGCACATCATCACCATTTAACCAACGAGATTGATTAGTTAATGTTTTTGATCTAGTCTTAAAAGGAGCCACTTCATCTAGAATAGCTGTGCATAAATTATTAAAACAACTAGCCAAATCAGTAACATCTGCAAATTGCAACAACTGCACAGATAAACCATTAAAAATAGTTGAAAATTTAGCAGCTGACTCTTCATTAGGAAACAGAGAGTGTATAGTATGATTAGGGTTTACAGCTTTAGATTGAAAGACAGACTCAAAAATAATAACTTTATAATCAGAAACACACTTAAGTGTAAGCCCCAGAGTAAAGACCAAATCCAAAGTATGCCTGTGATTATGAGTCGGACCAAAATCGTTGCACAAAATTAAAAGATTCAACAATATTTAAAACTTCTGAGGTAAATCCATTAGTAGCATCAACTACATGGATATTAACTCCACCTCCTCGCCCATGCAATCTTGGACAGTTTAAATGTCTATAGTCCAATGGGCACAAGAGTTGACAACTCTCTCCTGGCTTAAACCAGGTTTCGACTATAAACATAAAGTCTGTAAGCATGTAGTCCAGAAAGAACAGATGTTAGTGCCATCAGAGTAGTGTATAGTCCTGTTACGGTTTTGTCTTGAGCCCCAATGGACGTGATGGCGTCAACATTAAAATGCCAGCTTTAAAAGCAGCAATAGCAACGGCTTTAGGAAGGCAGAAGTTATTTAAATTACATAATTCAGAAGTAGCATAAGACAGTACCTGTAGCCTGAACAGGAGCTCAGAACAGCACAGAAATTGAACAAACTCAGGGAAAACCAGGGCAGCTAACAGTAGTGGTAGAGTAGTTAGCAATTGTGCAAGCTATGTCAGAGAATTAGTAGTCAGTCAGTGTGCAGGGCAGAGCAGTAGTGGCGACAGCAGCCACACTCGGACAGCGTGCAGGGCAGAGTAGTAGTGGTGACAGCAGCCACACTCGGTCAGCGTGCAGGGCATAGTCATAATCACGGTAAAGCAGCTGCACTCGGTTGACATGCAGGACAGACTAGCAGGAGTTATGGCAGCCACACTTTGTCAGTGTATGGGGCCGAGTAGCTGCGGTGGAAGCAGCCAAACTCACTCAGCATGCAAGTCAGAGCAAAAGAACAAAAGAACACAGATTATTGGTCAGAAGTGTAAGCTTAAGTCTTTGAGGAGACCGGAAGTTTGGTTGAGATTTACAGACAGTCAAAACAAAAAACACAGAGACATGGGGAGAAGCAACAGTCAAACAGGAGGATGCAATCAATACTCAAGCCTGGAACTTATGGGAGCTGGAGCCTATCCCAGCAGTCATTGGGTGGAAGGCAGGATACACCCTGGACAGGTCACCAGTTCATCGCGGGGCGAAATAAAAACACATTTTCTTTTAAAATATAACAAACATACTGAAATGTTAAAGCACTTATTCACTATATACAACCAGCAAACCTCCCATTCTATATAACACCTCTGAACGACAATGCCTATTTATATAACTGTACAAATGTTCATATCATCCTGTATTTTACTGTAATCGACTTCCTCAGACTCATATTACATAATCACATTCATCTCTTTAGATTCTTTCACATTAGCTCTTCTATATCTGAGTTCTTAATATTTATTCCATTTATTGTATTTTTATTTATTTTTCACTATTTTACTGTTTTTCTTTGTCGTTTTAGAATTTCTTATAATTTGTGTACTTGTGTGGTCTGTTTTAGCATGTTACATGTGTGCACTCACTATGACAGATCCCTTGCATGTGTAACATACTTAGTGAAATAAAGTGATTCAGTCTCTCAATTATATGATATTATTGAACAAAAAGACAAGTAGTCCACATCTATCAGGTTATATAGTGTGGACGAACATCTTAAATGGCTGTATTACCAGCCTGCTTTTGCCAAAGAGAACTACAAGGTAAAGCTTGTCTATTGTTGGGTAATTTACTACAGCATTAGTAAAATCTAAATTTTCATTCATAATTTCTGTGATGCAATATATTCACCAAAAATAAATAAATAAAGAGGGAAGACCACACAGCGAATTTCAAAAGAAGAGCAGAAATTTAATAGTATTTTTTCAGGTTTAAAGTAACATACAAAAATATTTTTAAAATTAAACTAACAATAATTTGACAGCTTATGATGTTCTAAAAACACATGCAAGCAAAAGTTGTTCTACAAAGATGGAGATACCCAGTTCAAGCTCCTGTACCATCAACTGCGACAGGTCTGATAGGAGTCATTGGAGATGGGTATAAGTAAGTCCTTATGTCATGTCACAGCACCCTTCTCAACAATCGTTCTTCAAGCATCACAAAAGCCATCAATAGTACGTATTCTCTGTAATGGAAAGTTCATTAATAAGATTTAGTCTTGCCTGTATGTGACTTTATGCCGTGTAGAACAGGCATGTGTAGACCATACTGAGGTCACCAGTACATCATTCAGATAGCTTGATGTCTTACAGTTCTTCATACTTCTGTGTCTCTTTTACGAAGCTGTTCAGTTCTGACCAGCACAGCAAAAACTTCACTGCTGCAACCTTCAGGGTCATATCTCCTCGGTCCTTAACAAGAACACTCCAAACATACAGCATACAGAAAATCTCCTAAAGTTTAAAAGGGAAGCCAAAGTGGCACTTCAAAATGAAGCAAGCATTGACTAGTTAACATGTTGACATCAAAGATGCAAAAAAGGGACTTAAGGGGCCAAGCACAGTTGTCAAAACATCCATCACTGTATCAGAAACACGCATCATTGAATGTGGAGCTACTCAATTGTTTTAAATTTATATAACAAATGAAACTAATTTTGGGGATAATATGCAGTACCACCATCTTACTGGTTGTATGAGCTGTAGTCTTGTTTTAGCACCGGAAATAATACTTCACTTTTGCACTCATGTTGTAGAAATACTGTGAAACAGCAATGGGTGGTTTTCTTCTAAAACAGTTTGAAATCTGGGCTGGAAGCACCGTTCCCTGGAGACTTTTACTCCCAAAATGTGCTAAAGTTACACTCATTACTGCTCATTTCCACCACTGCTCTTAGTGCACTTGTGTATCGTCACAGTCTTTAAATGCCTGAAACTCTTCCCACACTCTGAGCAGTAATACGGCTTCTCTCCTGTGTGGATGCGCTGGTGTTGTTGGAGAGAACCACGCTGATTAAAACTCTTCCTACACTCCAAGCACTGATACGGCTTCTCTCCTGTGTGAATGCGCTGGTGTTGATGAAGAGAACTCGGCTGACTAAAATTCTTCCCACACTCTGAACAGTGATACGGTTTAATGCCTGCGTGTATAAGCTGGTGTGTTTTGAAATGACTCTGATGATTAAAAGTCTTTCCACACTCTGAGCAGTGATACGGCCTCTCTCCTGTGTGAATGCGCTGGTGTCTTTTGAGAGTGCCCCGTCGAGTAAAACTTTTCCCACACTCTGAGCAGTGATGCGGCTTCTCTCCTGTGTGAACGCGCTGGTGTCTTCTGAGATTACTAAGTTGAGTAAAACTCTTTTCACACTCCAAGCAGTGGTGATTTCTCTCCTTGCTGCACGTCTGTGTTTGTCTGCGAGATGTGTTCATGTGGACGGTACCAGATGACTTTCGCTGAGTAACAAGCTTTGTGGATGCCATATTCTTATAGGTCACCTGTTTAAGTAGCTTAACATTACTCTTGGTGGAATGTCCTGATGTGTTTATGGAAGCATATTTAAGCTGGGAAGGAAAGTGTATGGGAAGTCTTGAAACAGTGTGGCATTCACATCTGAAAGAAGAAAAAAGAAAATATAAACTCAATTTGCAATGCAGAAAAGTAGTCTGATCCAAATAATAAAGGCTCCTCAAACTCTTTATATAGAAATATAGACAACTAATGTCAAGTTGCCATGCCAATATTGGAAACTTCATGGCTAAGCTGGATTTCTCAATGCCAAAAATCCTTAAATCCTCTAACAGTCCTTCCTACATTCATCTCCCAAACACTGACAGCATCATTGTTAATGCAGGGCTTGATAATCCTTCTTGTAGGAGAGTGGTGAGATTTAACACACAGGTTTCCAAACTGTAGCTAAGTGTGGGCAAGAGTGGGTCATGAGGAAGCTGCACATATTTTTTGGTCTATAGCCTGTCACACGGCGCACATATGCTCACATACATTTGAAGCGCAGTTGTGAAGTGTCACACAACACAAGGTCACCACTCAGAGCTTCAAGTTTGGATCAGAATATATTTTTAGATGTAACATCCAACTAAATTTAGAATGAAACATTCATGAGTTCATACTGAATATAAGAGTTGAATGGATTACACCTAAGTACAGGACAAATACCCTATATGGACAACAGTTTTGGGACACCCTTCTAATTATTGAGTTCATGTGTTTCAGCCACACCCACGATTAACAGGTGGATAAAATTAAAGCTAAAACCCTTTTAGTCTCGATAGACAAACACTGGCAGTACAATCGGTTGTACTGAAGGGTTGTACAGGGACTTGGCACTGTCATAGGATGCCACCTTTGCCACAAGTCAGTTAGTGAAATTTCTGCCCTGCAAGATCTACCCCCTGTCAACTAAGTGCCATTACTGTGAAATGTAAACACACAATAGGTCAGCCACAAAGCGGTAGACCACACAAACTCACAGAGTGGGGCTGCCAAGTGAAGTGCACAGTGCCTATCCTCTGTTTAATTACTCAATAAAGAGTTCCAAGTTGCCTCTGGAAGCAACATCAGCAAAAGAACTGTGCATTAGGAGCTTCACAAAATGGGTTTCTCTGGCCGAGCAATTACACACAAGCCTCAGATGGGAGAGTCTGGGTTTGGTGAATGCCAGGAGAACATTACACTTGGCACAATGCAGGAAGGCAGGTAAAGTTTGGTGGAGGAGGGATAATGATATGGGGTTGTTTTTCAGGGGTTGGCCTAGGCCCCTTAGTTCCAGTAAAGGGAAATTTTAATGCTTCAGCATACCAAGACATTTTGGACAACTGTATGTTTGCAACTTTGTGAGAACAGTTTGGGGAAGGCCCTTTTCTCTCCCAGTAGGACTGTGCCCCAGTACACAAAGCAAGGTCCATAAAGACATGGTTGGGAGAATTTGGTGTGGAAGAACTTAACTGGCCCACACAGAGCCTCGACCTCAACCCCATCAAGCACCTTTGGGATGAACTAGAACAGAGACTGCGAGCCAGGACCTCTCGTCCAACACCACTGTCTGACCTCACAAATGCTCTTCTGGAAAAATGGGCAAAAATTTCTACATACATACTCCAAAGTCTTGTAGAAAGCCTTCAGAGTAGAGTTGAAGCTGTTATAGATGCAAAGGTGGAGGGGGAGGGGCAACTCCATATTAATGCCTATGGGTTTAGACATGGGAGTTCATAAAATCTCTTGTGGGTGTAATGTATAGGTGTCCCAATATTTTTATCCATATAGTGTATAGTGAGAGCGTGGTCTCTGGGACTGAGATTGGGAGCATCTGACCTAGCTTATCAAGCTCACTACACCCCCCTCTAAACAGACCTCAAACACCCACCTAGACACTCCTACCAGCTCTTTATCTACCAGCCATTGACCAGCAACCCCCACCCAGACATTCACAGCTCTCAGGAAGCACTTCATATTACTCTAGAACAAACTGTGATTCTCACCAGATTTGTACAAATAGTTACATCCCTCCCTGAATAATATTGTGTGCCATCTTTTTATACATTGTTCTATAAATGAATCATTCATAAAATCTGCTTTATGTGTTTAAACTGACAATGGAGCAAATAGTAATGCACAGGATTCATTTTTACAATTTGTTTCAAAATGAAAAAGTTGACTTGATAACATCAGCACAAAAACAAACAAACAAACAAACAAACAAAAAAACCATAAATACCAAGAATCACAAAGCTTGTTCCATCTATTTTAAACCCATCAGAACTTACTGTCAGAACTCAAATGTGTCTCCAGCTGTTTGTCCCAGAGTGAATGAAGAACAGTGAGTGTTAAAGTGTTGGACAGCTTCCTACCTTCAACAGTTCAGCTCTTGTTTCTCTTCTCCAAAACACTAAATGAGCGTGGAAGCATGAACTACTGACCACGACACAAAATTCTGCTTCTCCGCTTTAGTGCAGTTAGAGAAAGCTATAGCTACAGATTTAGCGCCACCACCTGGCCTGAAGCGGCTTCACACTGGAACCACGCGGTCACGGAAACAGTCGGAACGGTCGTTATTTAAAATCCCACCCGTATTTAGTCAAGCCCCGCCTATTGCGCTCTGAAACGTGGCATCAAAATAAAAATGGACATGGTATTTCTCAAAAACACTGGAAAAACTTTAGATAATATGAACGATTCTGTGATGATGATTTCAATCATAACTAATCATATTATATTTTTCCGTATGGCTCTCCCTGTGTGTGTATGTCTGCGGGTTATCCTGAGTATGCTGAGAAGAACCTGTTTGTTCCATATAAGTATTAAAAAGTCTTTGAAGGAGTAAAGTACATGTGTAGAGAGACTTAGTTGTAACCATATTGAATTAAAGCAATCCATAAAGTGAATAAAGTTTAAAGGCCTAGGCCTGATTGTGGCCTTATGTTACTTCTCGGTTTGGAAATAATGGCAGAAGTTTTGATAAGAAAAATGATGATGTTAATCATGATGTGAATAATAATAAGTAAAGATAATTAAAAAAAAAAACAATGTAAGGTTCAGAAATTATGGTCATAAAGAGTCAGAAAAGACTATAAAAATTAGTTTTCGTAGTTTGGTCAGTTGTTGCGTGGGCCAACTCAGATTAATGCTTGTTTGTGGGAAAGTCTTCATTTTAATGCAAGAAATTGTACATTTCCTGACCATCCTGGTGTTCTGAGCATTATTTTAATTTCAAACCTTTGGGCAAAGCTGTCCATTAGCTGGTTTTTTGCCGCAACTTACCCGGGACCTCTTGCACCCCAGATCGGACCACCGCGGCTGTCGGCCTCTGCGAACGGAACCTGTTTGGCCATGTCAATTTTGCTAGACGGAGTAAATCCACTAAACCCTGAGCATAGACAAACTTCCAGTTTGGTAGATCTGGACTGGAATGAATGAATAGTTTTTCCCACAGAGAGACAAAAAAGCAATGCATGGATTGTATAGGTTAAAGTCAATTATGGAACAGTAATGTCTGTTTTGGAAAGAAAATGTATGGTATATGTTTTTAAAAGAGATAATCCCCTGGGGTCTGAAGCTCATAGAAGAGTAAACTGGTGGATTTCTCCGAGTATGATTGTGCGTAGCAGAATTGCCACTTGCACAACAGTAGCACTGGTCAGAGTTCAACAAATCCAATTACATTAAAAATTTTGAAAAGGGACTACTTTCCCTTATAATTGGAGGGTGGGTGCCATGGGAGCCATGGTCTGAACCACGTTTACCAGCAATAGCTTTGATTAAAAACCAACAACAAAAGTTATACTACAGTCCTCCAGTGCCAACCACTGTGTCAGAATATTTGCAGTGGCTCATAGATTTTTGCATGCTAAGAAGTAGAGCGTCATATATCATCTTTTATACGTCGAAGAGAGAAAGAGTTTTTCCTCTTAATAGAGAGATTACTGTAATCAAGCAAGTCTCCTACTTGTTTTTGGACAAGGCAGGAGCTGAATGCCAATCTAAAGAAATTAAATAACATAATCACCCCCTATTATGTGAGAAAGCAAGAATACTCATGAATGTCAATAGATTTACAACTCCTGCCAAAGGGAAGTGGTGAATGAATTCATATTAAAGGTAGGATCTATTCGAAGGGAGAAGTCCTTTTCAGGCCTCTCTGTATGTATAGGCTCTTTCACCATTTGGTGCACAGCTCCACCTTACAGTCCAAAAAAGCTAGAACATAGAGATACATTCCTAGTTTAAGTCAGAATGGGGAATAACAATGGGAAACAGTCAAACAGAGAACAGCACCAGTAGACTTGATAATCTCAAGATAGATAACAAAAAAGAATGAAATAAAAAACTGTGTGAAGTGGAATAAACAAACAAAAAGATTGAAAAGCAGTGGCCACTAATAGTTACATTTGATAAAGATCTGTGTCAAATGGTATGAGACTTAGAAGAAGAAGAAAAAACTAGAACTTACAAAAGAGTGGAACAAACAAGAACAGAGACTAGCCATATTCCGAGTTACGGAGTCAAGGAAACTGAAAAACGGTATGATAAGATGATGAGAAGAAAAAAGACAGAGAAAATGTACCCAGTGACATTAGCAACCT